CACAAATTGCCGTATATTAAATTCAGCCCCGTAATAAACTCAGATGCGTTTGAATCGGGAGTAATTTTCATAAGAGGTGGGTAATGTATAACGAAATCAGCTTTAAATTTAGTTAAATTATATATTAAATTTTTCAGGATCACAAATGAATCATCACAAATGTGGGGCTAGAAATTTCAAGTAATGTGAAAAGATATATGTTTTCAGCTGATACTTATTTATGTAATTATATATTGTTAGATAATTTGCAATAAATTAAATTTAGTAACCTGATTTCTCAAATTACGTTATAGTGATGCAAGACTAGAAGAGAAATTATTGGGGTAATTATATATAAGATTACTTTTACTAAAACAGATGAATAAGGTCCAGTTTCATACTTTAGGACACGGAACCATTTACTGGTCAATATGTTTCCTTCAACGTGTTTATTCTTTTAAATATAGCTAAAATTACGGCTAAGTTTAGATATAAGAGTTTAAGATCTAAATACCCAAAATTACATTCGTCAGATTTCAAAATCTTAGTCGAGGAATTGTATTTTGTCATTAGAAGAAACGCATAAAACACTTACAAACAAGATGTTAAATACAGTAGTTTCCAAAAATTAAGGAAAAATCACAAAATTAGGCATAACTCGTTCAAAAATAAGCCAATCAGTATAAAATTTGAATATGTTTTCAAATAAGAATTGCTGACTAAAACTGAGGTATGCAAATTTGTGACGCTGCAATTGAAAGACGTCATCTGCGAAGAGCATAATTGGATGTTTCAGAGCAAGCCTGAGATAATGAGATAGCCGCTGTGATAATGAGATAAGAAATCCGGAAAGCCAATTTGTAGCAATGACCTCCAGGCATCATTAAGTCAGATAGAAGTGGCCAGATAAATAAATGCGAGTTCTTTGCTGGTTCATAGGCTTTGGCGACAATTTTCACAGATTTGATATCCAGAAGATTCAGCCAAGGACGGCCAACCGCTACGACGAGCGCTGATGACCGATATTTTTTGTTAGGCGCATAAAGGAAGAGAATCTCAACTCCAACTCAACTCAGATCCTTCCATACTGTAGCCATTGGAATGTTGGCGTCAACGTCAATCGTGGGTAGAAGGCTTCACGAAGGAGGTTTGTACTCAAGGCGACTAGCCATTTGTCTGCCGCTCATGTCACGCCATAGAAGGGAACCTTTGAGGTGGGCACGTCAGCACGACCACTGGAGAGCTGACCAGTGAAGGGCTGTTCTCTTTATGGATGGGTCCACGTTTAGACTCCAGAGCTATAGTAGGAGTTATTTGATCTGGAGAGAACCTAGAAACCGTTATCATTCATCAAACATCCGTAAAAGAGATGCATAAGGAGGAGGCAGTGTCTGTGTTTGGGGTGGTATCTCTTGGTTGCACGCACATGCCTCCACATCTTTCCACGTGTGACCAAGAATACTCAGGCCTATAGAGATGACATCCTTGATGTTTATATGTGCCCTTATGACGGGGCAGTAAATCATAATTCCTTGCTGCAGGACGACGACGCTATACCTAACATGGCTCGCATTGTAGATGGTTACTTTCAGCAGCAAACAATTCAGGGTATCAATGGCCTGCTCTATCACGGAACCTAAATCCTGTTGAGCATGTTTTCCGTGCTTTAGGAAGAAGAATAGCTGCTTTAAATCCTCCTCTTCATACAATTGCCCACTTACAACTGCTTTGCAAAAGCAATGGCTCTTACTTCCTACGAAACTAATAGACTGCATAATTGACAGCATCACACACCACTGTAAGTGTTGTATTGCTTCTAGGAGAGATAATACTCAATACTGAAAATAGTGTTCCTATATCATACTGACACATCCGGTTTGGTAATTTTATGCATACATGTTTATTAACACCATAAGTCTGGTAGCTTTTTTTCATGTTATTTTATAGCTTACTATGTGTTACTGAGTAAGTTTCATTAAATTCCACATGCGACGTTTTGACTAATAGTCACTTTTAGGATATTTTCTATAATTAACGATAACCTGTATATATGTCTACGTACTGAATCAAATTTAAGCGCAGGGATTCATTAAATATTAGTTACAAATTTATCTAATATATAACTACAATAAATTTAATCTAATCGTCTAGATGATAGACTAACTCAAAATTATGAAAATAATTTTATGAATCATAAATAATTTTAATAAGGTTTTTAAAATTAGTCCGTTTTTTATTATATTAGAAATATCTATACTATTATTCATAGTAATTATTGATATGTTTATGAAAATATCAATATACTGTTTTTTATGTGTTTAGGAAAACATGAGTTATCATTTATAGAAATAATCACAAGTTATAGCTAAAAACATATGTTAGAGGCCAGAGTTGATAAGAAATAAAAATGTTACAAATTGCATCCCAAGAAGGAGAATAATCAGTGTAATGTAATATACGAATGCGCTGCAACCCTCCTGGCCTATAATAATCAGCCTTATGGATAACGCAGCACACCCAACACAAACAAAAATACAGTTGAAAGATTAAAACAAGAAATACAGTCAAAAACATCAAACCAAAATTCCGAGCATTGTTCTATTAACATTTATAAAGTTCATCAAATCTTTTGCTCTTCATCAAATCTTAATCCAAACTCCTTATTGCGGTAGTAAGATTCCTTTATGTTACCATGTGTTTCTTTAACATGTCGCAGTAATACGCAATGTGTTTTTCAGTTTTCGACGAAAAGTCGTGCCTTGCCCTCAGCACTACAAAAACTACAAAGGCTATTATTTTGTAAATTGAATCCTTTCAGGTATGCTGGGAACCGCCCGTGTCCTGTAATTATTTGATTGAAATCAAGATCACATATCATTCTCATATGTTTAGAAACTGCAAAGTTCAACAAATAATCTTTCCTTTTTCCCAAATTGTTCCATTTTTTTTTCCAGCAGTCACAATAGAAATCTTTGATTTTACCAATAACAATTCTTTTTGATGCAGGAATATCGAATACATCTCCAGCATTACCCATAACAGTCTCTTTGGCCCATCTGTAGGCCCTTTCATTGTCCATAACAACAATATGGGCTTTCAATGAATTCATTTTCATTTCATGTACTTCCTCAACTTTTACAAGGAGATCCTTTATATATGAGATCAAAATACTGGTGTTATCAACAACTGCTAGTGCTTCTAAACCAGATAATGAGTCAGTATATAGATATATGTTTTTAAAGTGAGGTTTTTATCAATTTATTTAAGGGGAAATAAGATAGCAGCCAATTTGGTTTGAAAATCCGAATTGCAAGGTTCCGGTCTAATTTTGCTATAGTCCATTTCTGTACCAGACAAGTAAACCACGTATGCTGCAATAATTCAACTGTCATAACCCGAACAGTCCGTAAATAGTTTTGTGTAAATTCATATGATATCCATTTATTTTCTTTCGAAATTCGTAATAAGGTGGAGCATTTATTTAGAACATTGTGTTTTTCACTTTTCCGCACTGACAGAAAAATTTAATTATATCTGCACAATATAATCTGAGCAGTTTGTCTTTAAATGCAATAATGATATGTCATCATCCAAAGACATGAATTTCTTTTGTATGAGGTAAGTTTTCTGCGAAATTCTGCAATGCTCTGTCTGATGTTTTTATCGAGTTAAAACAGTTTTTATAATACAAAATTTTCATTTGCAAGAGCGTTTTATTTTTTTTACCTTCCGAAAGAAGTTAAGACAATTATGAGAACAGCAAGATGACTGAATGTTTCAAGACTTGTCACTTAAAAAAATTAAAAAATTAGCTAGGAAGACAAGATGCGCTATCAAAAGAGGAATAAGTACTAAGACCTATTTCTCTCGGATAATTCTCCACCATAAAGGAAACAATTTAGAGCTTGCAAACTTAGATAGAACTTACATATAGCGGAAATCTATACAGAAGATTAATGAAAAATCCACACACCTCACCTTAAAACTGAAATATAAAGCAACGGGCCATGTTCGTTTCAGTGATATCCAATTTTCAGTTAAATTTCTGATTCCAAATACTTCTCAGTGATAATCGAATTTTCAGTTAAATGTCTGATTCAAAGTACTTCTCATGTGGCGAATGCAGTTATGCACTATTAACACAGGAGAATATAGCAATTACTGCCGCTCAGATGTGATGATATGGGGAGGTATTCGATCGACGAAGGTAGTCTTCTGTGCGTGTTTGGAAATAATATCTGTATCTATACAGTGAATAGCACGAACACTGCATCGAAAAAACTTAGTTTACTAATATTTTGAAACTGAAGGCCCTGAACCAATATATTTGTCAGATCCGTCTCCTGAGCTGAATCCTTCAGACAACTAAAGGGACATCCTTGAAAGAATTATTGCGCAGCGATTTGTGTCCTTAAAGGTACTTGTCGCATGAATAATCGTATTGGTGGAAAACAGTAAAACTTCAAGCTCTAGTTAGTCGCCGTATTAAAAGCCTGATATCGCATTCCGTGTACAAATTAAGAGATATTGTATCAACTATTCTGTAAAATATTTTCTATTGTTTCTAATATATTTTTTATTCTATAATTTATTGCACATATTACTGCAGTTTGTTTGTTTCATATTATAGCTGGTTCGCTGTCATAGATACTGGATCTGTCAGTTAACTTTTATTTGTTATTATGCATATAAGTTAAAGCCCAGTAAAGTCGCTGAACGCTGGTAGTTCGGACCGAGCTGCGAATTCCACGAACGGGCTGACTACACGGGCGTTTTCGTGGTTTTCCCCATATGTAACGCATATGCGAGCCAGTTTGCCTTGGAACGTCCTCCACGAAGGCGTTCATTCCCTTAGGCAGATAGCCCTCGAAGTTTTGCAGTAATCATATAAAGAAACAAACAAATAAACATTTAAGTTAAATACAAGCATTCCAATTTTTTAGTTGCTTATAATAAACAGTGTTTTCATGCATAAAAGGAAGATATTTGAAATACATAAAAAAACTTTCTTTAATACCTACCCTTTCCGTTTGTGCGTGCTTCCTGGAATTCCAGAAAAACTCAATGACGGCCGCAACAAAGGCAACAGCTAATCCGCACAAAAGTACAACAAAAACACCACCAATGTTGCCCACCCCTAAAGAGTTGGCTTTGCCTTCTTTGTTCTTGTCCTCTCTGGCGCATGAAACGCCGGAGCTTTTCCACCACTTATTGTAGAGCATCTGGATGACGCCCTTTTCTTGGAGATCTAGGATGGCTAGGGAGATTTTGTCTCGCCATGGAGAACCTAAAATATAGGAAAAGAGAAAGGATGTTTATACACAATTTTATTCTTTTCTGACTAACAGAACGATAGCAATGCAAGCAGTCTGTTTTAACACATCAGTACTTTCGGAACATTGTGGGGGAATTGCTTTATAAAGTAGTTTTATCTATAGGCAGGGATTTGTTTTATATTGTGGTTTTACCTATATTAAGGCAAACTTTGTTTTACATCTGTGTTTGGGTATATGAATGAATGATTAGTTTCTCGCAGAAGAAAGAGAACTTTAAAATATTTTTGACATAATTTATTTAGGAATATATTTATTATATTAACAAATAAGTAAATATAAAATATGACTTCAATTTAAACACTTATTGTTGTAAGAGCAACAAACAGGAAAATTAAATTTTAACAAGAGCTAAAAACTTTGCAATTTCTAGAGCAGTGATGTCTACAGAATCTGAAGCTTTAAATGTTTCCTTGTTCAGCTTAAATAAATTACTTTGGGTAATTAACAAAGCTATTTAAAATACTTCTTTTATTTTATTGCTGATATAAAAAAGCTGATATATTGCGTTCTCTTTTTGATATATTGCGCTCTTTTTATTGATATATTGCGCTCTTTTATTGCTGATATATTGCGCTCTTTTATTGCTGATATATTGCGCTCTCTTATTTTCATTATTATGGCTTAATAGTTACTATAAATTTATAAATTTAATTTGGCACCCAATGCTGTATAATTCTTTAACCCTATCGTCAAATCTAGAAGTATGTTTTATTAACTGCTTACTTTTAGCCTACCAGAGACGTTCTACTCCTGACGTAACTACGCCCCCCAGCCTTTTACATCTGGATTCTCGATGGTTATGCGGCAACTATTCAACATCCCACTAACTCAGCAGAAGTGGCTCACATGACTTAGGTTCTTCTCTGTATTTGGAGCGCATACTGCACTCGGAATTATCATCTTCGAAATGCTATCAACTTCTTCACAAAGGATCGGACTACCTCTGTGAGCCCGTAACATGTGACCTACCTACCTTACTTCATTTAAAACACTTTGAAAATTCAGCTATATATAAAATATGCACAAATAGCATATAGCCTTACAGCGTTTGAGCCGCAGCACTCCGTAGCAAATAGTTCACAGTAGAGCGCCTACAATTTTTTAGTATAGCACACTGACATTTTTAAGTTTAAAAATTAGATTTTTTAAGAATACAATTTCGAATACATGTTAAAAATCAAACATTTATTATTAAACTAAAACATATTTACCAATTCAATAACACAAAAATTTGCTTCTCAGTTTCACATTAAAAAGTTACAGATATCTCACTATAACTAATTCACTTGTCGCTGTGTGAAGTATGAACTGTTTTCAAAATTAATGTATCTAAAATCAACGCTTTTAGACATACTCATTTTCAGGTATATCTAAAACCGATATCTTGATATATCTCAGATAATTGCTCAGGGGGTGCTTAGTTTGGCATTCCTTACTCATTTTTCTGTACATATGAATGCAATGAATCTCAATTAGTAGATGAAAAAACCCTATCTAGCGTATAATCCACTAGAATTTCGAACGAAATCACTGTTATTTAAATCTTAACTGCAAAATAACAACACTTGTCAACTTTTACAAGACAATTTTTAAAAAATGCAACCATCAAAGTATTCCGTAAAGCAATATCGACAAACAGAAATAAACAGCCAATCGATGAAATGATTTTTATAACTCTGGCAAGAACAAATTTTGATTTTGCACGAGGAGCAAAGAAAGCCGCGTTATGACTTGAATTTGAATTCTTTGATGTGAAATGCGAATGGGAACAAAAGATAAATTCAAGCGGAGAAAATTATCAAATTTATACAGAAGTGTCTCCAGAAAACTAATGATAAACATTTTTTCTTCAAGAAAACAGAGAAAAATCACAAATATCTAATTTATTTCCTTAATAATTGTTGCAAACACGATTTTTTCCTTCATGATACCAAGCATATTTTTTCCAAACAACATGTCGCTTAAATGCTTTAGAATTATTATATGATTCTTTTATACAGTAACAAATCTTAACTTGATAATTCCTAATAATCAATTAAAAGTAAATAAAAAATTTTAATACTTTCATTTATTGACTGATTTTTCCAACGATCCCAACTGTAAAACCAATTTAGCGAAGAGCAATACAGATTTAGAATAGTCTCAATCAGGGTTTTCCAACGGGGTCGACACTGACCCTGGGGGTCCATGCAATTTTAAAGGAGGACTGAGAAGTCAATAGCCAATTTTGTTATATACCGAACGGTGGGCTTTGGTCCTTTTTTCCACATTGGCCACTCTTAAGGACAGAAGTGGTGGCCATTTTATTATGGAGGCACCTAAAAGGCGGCTACCGTTACCACCTATGAAAAGACATACAATTTTACATACATGCCGTCTCCAGGATTTAAAACCGGGCCCTTTGGTATCGCAGTCAGGCTCCCCTAACGACTATGCCATCTGGGTGACCTCTATAACCAAATATGCAGTGACAAGTTTTCGCCAAAATCAGGACTGCATAAATTATAAAAAAATGAGTTAAGAAAATCGTTAAATAAGGTTTATTTACATAAAGATATATCATTTAGTTAGTGAGAAAAAATATAAAATAAATATAAAAGGAAACTACTCTCTGAAAGTATTTAATATATTTCAAAAACCAATGATATACTTTGTTTAATATATCATTTTTTACGCAGTAAATAACAGTATAAAAATGTACAACGCGGTAACACAAGAGAAAAAAATCTGATGTGTACACCACATGACTTCCTTGTACGGAATATTAAATTATATGCATTTTTTCTTGCATTTTATTTAAACTTATTCGATTGAATTAAACCTACTTCGCCGACAGCGCATAAACTACAATAGAATAAATGCATTCTTTAAAGTTCACTTTGTTTACCATAGCGACACTCTGGCACTAGGTTTACTTAACAGTATTATATTTCGTTCATATTATAACTCAGAATGCAGAAAATTTATATCATTTAAAGAATTATCTAATCGTTGCCACATGTTCTATTCAAATACTATAATAAAGCTAGAACTATGTATAAAAGAAATTAAGCAACAAAATAAAAAAAGAAACAGTTTTTCACAGACGATTGAGTATTTCTCATTCAATTAATTCAGTTTTCACTTCGCGACAAGGCAAAAATACATAAAAACTCAAAATATCTGTATTAAAAATTACGAAGTAAATCTTAAATGCTTATTTTCTCGAAAAATTCCAGAAAGGATTAAGCATGATTTAAATAATAAATGAAGGCGTTATCTTTGTTGTTGCGAAGCTAAGTTTCTCTAGATTGGCAACAAATCCGCTACTCAGCTGTTTCAAATGTAAACAAGAGCAATGGCCGCCATCAAATTAGGTTTAGCGGCATTTAAACAATTTTAAAATTGTAGATAATTCTAAAAATATTGCATACAGATTTACTAAAGGCATAAAACCCTTGACCGGAAGATAAAAACAACATAATTCAATCATTTTTAAAGCAAAAAATGTACAATTTACAAACCTATAAGAGTAACAAAAACTGAGATCACTGAGACGGGTAACAGAGTGGATATATTTATAAATATATCTATATACGTTTGGCGCAGCCGATTGAAACCAAAATACGAGGTGCACATCTACATGTCATAGTAGTCTTATATACAAAATTTCAACGTTCTGAGGCTATTCTTTTTTAAGTTATGCGAGATACGTACGTACATACATACGTTCGTACAGACGCCACGAAAAATTCTCTTCAGAATTGCTTTTAAAGCAGTTTTTAGTTTTTTTGGAGGAAAAGAGTCTTTTATTCTTTCCTTACGTACAGATAATATGCAAAAACATCGTTAAATTGCATTTAAAAGCGGTCAAAGTGGAAATATGCTGCCTGAAGCTTTTAGCGATTACAATACTTCCTTTTTACTTCGTACAAGGAAGTAAAAACGTGCGCGCAGACATACACACACACTAAAACCAATAAAGGAAAACTCAAAAGTAATTGAACCACGTTTGAACGATTTGATTTAAAACCTAAATGAAACATTTTTGTGCCAAATATTAAAATGATTGCATCAATATATCAAACACAACCATCACATTAATTAAAATCGTGTTATTATCCAATTAAAAACTCGATAATGTTTTCCTGAAACATTATATTTGTAAAATTAAACTTAATTGTAACACAATAATAAAATATAAATCTAATAAACGATGTTTTTTCAAAACATTTATTCATCTTCTTAATTTAATTATTAAATTTAAGTTATTTAAATGTTAAAATTTATATTATGACAGTTTTACATACTATGTATTCTAGATAAAAATGTAAGGGAGGGTCATTGAAGACATTCATTCTTTTAAAACGAGTGGATAACAAGGAAAAGGTTGGGAATTCTGGTCTAGATCATCTCATTAACATAGGTCAATGAAAGAAAACTGCAAATAATTATATCTATTATTTACTGTCAGTTTCTAGAAATTTTAGAATAGTTTGGTAAGATTAAAAAAGCAGGAAACTTAAAAGGACTCTTTCATACGAAAAGTTTCATTATTATTAACTTATTCCGTAATTAGGCGAGAAGTAATGAATGTAGAAATTTTAAAACGAAAAGTCAGTTAAGGAGTTCTCAAACAAATGAAGAAGTAAATACATACTCCAAGATCCTTTAATGAACGAAATGAGGGCTTCTGGGAAAACCTTCATTTTCATATGAAAGTTACTTTTTCTGTTACGAAAGTCATCAATTTTCTGCAATGTTCTGCTATTGCATCTACTCATAAGCAGGCTTTAGAAATGCGTTTTAAATATACATATTAGTCGTAATGCGTTCCTCTAAAAGGCTTCACTTTACATTACGATGGAAAAGAACAGATGACTTTGCGCAAACTGCTTTCTTAAATGCACAGCCTAATTGCGTACAAGAATGGCAATGTTTGTATCAAATGTTTCAAAATATCCTTATTACTGACATTAAAGAAATTGAAGGAACAATGAACAATTAACATAATAAATATTGCGCAATTAAATAAATTTGCTTTTGCTTGGAGCTGCCTTTCAAATGCTGAGCAATACTTCCTAAGACTTGGAATGAACCTACAAGTACCGGACAAGAGCAAGATGAGGAGAAATAAATGTGATAACATTTTTTATAAAACAATGCCGAAAGAATTCAAAATATAGCATTTAAAAAAAGAAACTAATTTATAGCACAATAATATAATTTTCCATGTATTTGATAAAAAAAAAAAAGTGTAAATGCTTCTTGCTTCACATTACTTTTTCTATCACATTATGTCTAAACATTTGATAGAAAATGTGATAAATATACATCCAGTTTGAATTTTTTGTATATATAAAACTAGATTTACTTTACCTTTAATTTTCTTTCGCTTCATTTTGTTTATTTATTTATTTACTTTTTTGTGTTTTATTAGCTAAATTGCCGCCAGGTATGTTTGAACCCCCTGCATACATATACACATAGCTTACGTTATTTTATTTCTTAAGTTAAGTGTATATGTATGTATACAGGGGAATTCAAACATATCTGGCAAAAATGCAGAAACAAGTAGAAAGGACAGAAAAAAGCAGATGCTATAAAGGAATGCATGTGCGGAAATGGAGCGTTGAGGTAGTAGAAGGTGCTGTTAGACGATAGATAATAGACATTTTACAGCTTCTTCATTCCTTGTGGATACTGCGAGCGGTATGCCTCGCTAACGCTACATGATCGCCGAGTTCACCCATATATATTTTATCTGCAATATCAATGAAAATTCTAGATTTGTATCATAATAGTAATACATACATATGGAGGGGGATGTATATATATATATATGCATAAATATTTCTCCATCATGGGTCCTTGACCTGGGGAAGTCCAATCGCTGTCGAGAATCAAACAAAGAATATTCGAGCTATAAATACTCCAGCTGTGTTGTGCGCATTCTCGTTCTACGCTTTCTCATGCTTAATTAATTCGCGTCTCTTCGTTTACCTGTATTCTCTACTTTTTAAGATGCAACTGCGTATGAAACTGTATTGCTTTACGCCCATAGTGTTGTACCAATCAAGAAGAAAATGTTTTTAAAGAATTATTCTTACTCAGAGATAAAAATGGATATTTAATCTATAGGAAATTTCAGCTGCGGCTTTATACATTGTAAAGCCATCGCTATTCCACTTACAGGCTTCTAACTTAACTGAAGTGTTATGATAGCATCTAATTCTTCACATGTGTGTGTGTTGAAATTTATAACTTACATTTTTATTCACAGAATTTTATGCTGATGTGCGACAGGAAAGCGCCTTAAAGATGAATTTTTTTTAAAATTATTCTTTTGTTTACCTTTAAATTACTGTACTTTCAACAGATTTTCAATTCCTAGTTTTAATGAGCTTATACATCTTTCGAACTTTAACATTTTTATATAATATATATATAAGCTTTGTTCAAGGTTCCTAAGGTAAGTTCTAAGGTATTTTCTCCATTATTTCCACATGCACGGCATGCATAACTGGAAGCACACTCGACGCGTATGAGAGGTATAGATTCGAATCCTGGCAAGCGGACTGCAGGAAAAAAAAAAAAAAAACTTCAATAACTCTAGAAAATCAACAAAGTACCGTATTTTATGTTAAAAGCTGCGCGAATACTCCGTTTAGTGCCTGGTCAGGTATAGATATAGGTTGCTTTTGTCTTAAAACATTTTAAATTTATCTTTGTGCATATAAGAAGATGGGAATTTAATGAAAAAAAATATCATCTGATAAACTTCGGTCAATATAATGTTACAGAAACTGGTTTAAATTTTTACGAAGAAGGTTTAGCATATAACTTACGCTTTATAAAAGCTTTCAATATTATGCTGCTTTTGCAGCACTCTGGTTAGGGTTACTTAAGCATTTGAAGGATATCCCATTTTCCATTTATTCAGCTAAATTAAGCCTGACATACTTTTCTCCTAGCGCTTCTTTAGGAACTTAATTCAACATATCACGATTTTTGATGGATGGGTTGGAAATTCAGATCAAATTGCACGAGGTAAATGAATCCATGGGAAAAAAGAGAGAAGATAGTTATTTAATTTAAAATCAACTGGAATGGGGAAAGTAGTAAATTACTAAACGCGATCCTATGTATAAGATTTCGTTTTTTCTTAGTCCCTTTTCTTAATTGTTAATGATCTATTTTCATTATCGACAATTTCGTATTATATAATAATACCTGTATAATACCGCACAATTCCGTATTATATATATATATATTCCGCATATTATAAAGCTTACTGTATCCACAGTGTTAGTTTTAGATAAGAATTTAAAGTTCATTGCTAAATATTTCTATTATTCCGTGGAAATCGTACATTTTCTAGAATGCAGTAATAATTTGTAAATAATTATTAACTGTAAATAATTAAATTAATCGTTTTCAGACATAAACTTATAGTTTTAAATGGATTGCTATTTAAGGCATACTATTTAGAGGATTTCAGTTAAAAAGGTCCTTAGATATTTGACTTAATATTCAAAAAGGAAAAGAAAATATTTGATGTATCTTGACAGAATATGAGAATTTGTTTCCTATGAAATGCATGCTGATTTCAGAGGCAAGACGTCATGAAACGATTATGGTATATTTGTGGAAGAAATCTAAATGTATTGCTTGTATAGCTATAAATATTGTATTTATATCTGTATATTGTATTGTATTATGTCCTTTATAAAAAAAATTAATTTATTGCAGATATTCTGTAATCTTCCTATGATTTGCTTTTAATTATCTAGAATAATGATCGAATATTTTATACGTGAGAAACTTGAACTTTTAGAATTAAAAATCAAACATAGAGCGATACTCTGTTCACCTCATTACTTTAACCATCGAAAAGAAACATTGTTTATGGAATAGTTTTATACATGTCATAAACAATGTTTCTTTTCTGCGTCATCATGCCTTCACCTTCAACTACATCTACTGCCGGATATTAAACTACGCATTTCAAGCAACGCATTTAAAATATCACACTCACACGTATATATATATATATATATATATGTCGCTTCCGACAACGTGATATTTTCTCAAAGTAATTCATGTAATTTTTAGATTCGATCTTTCTTCTGCAATAAAATTAATTTTCGAATGCCAGAATATTCTGTGTTATCACTTATTACAAAACCAGTTACAAGAAATAAAACTAGAAAAAACGAAACTATATTAGTATTGCTTAGATTATTAACTAAAATTCAAACAAAAATGTGCAATGAAAAATTCGAAACATTTTAAATTCTAACACTCTCTTCTATATATTCAAATTTATATATATATTTTTTTTGCTAGAGTCATTTATTTATATAGTGACAGATGCATGTATAAAACATGAAAACTAGTTTCATAATTCTATGATTAATTAAAAAAATATTCAGCTTCAAGAAACTCCAAAAAGTAAACTGCGTTAGAACATTCATTGTTACCTAAATTAATCTGTGTTAATATAAATCTCAAAAGCATGACATCTAAAATCATGCTATAATGACATGTCCTATACTAGAATGACTGGTCTTGTATGAAAACAATATGACTATTTACATCTGCTTGTAGAAAAGAAAGTTCGAATCAGGAAAATGAAAGAAGGTATTTGAACTTTGCAAATGTCTACATGCCGGTTCAATGGATTCAAATTTTTCTTGATCAACCATGACGATTGACGATCTTAACAAAGTTTCTTCTAAAAATCTTAATAGACAATTGCTTCACCACTTCAAATGAGCTTTTTTATTATATAAAATGTCATGCAAATTTCATTGAATTTAGTCTCACTAAATTTTACTTGTTTCCTCTCGAGCTATACCTATTTGTTTGAAAAGATTATTGTTCAGCTCTTTTTAAGAATTCAGATTTTGACTTTAAGCCTTATGCATAACAGTTATGTTAAAACTGCAAATAAATATTTCGAATTTTTTTCACGCTCTTACTTGAAATATAAATGAAAATGAATAATATTCTAGATTCAAAAGTTTAAAAGTCTGTGTATATCAGCGAAGACAAAGTTTTTAAACACTTATTTTCAGAAAAACAAATTTGGATACCGAGTGACAACATAAAAGCATTCAGCACGGAAAAAAGTATGTCTGAAGACTAGAAATTAATTTAGCAGAACTTAAATTCGCAATCGTGTGACTAAGATAGCCGTTAGTGGAAAGGAAATCCTGAACCAAATAACTTCGAAAATTATTTTAGAAAAATACTTTCAGAACTGCATCACAAATGAAAAAATGTAGTCCATGGGGAAAGAAAGCAATTTGACACCCGCATAATTAGAGCACTTTATCTAGACGGAATTCAATTTTTGTGCCAACATTAAGTTTAATATTTCCAAATATGTATTAAAATTAGTTACTTCACATACGACCCAGAAAATGATTTCATAATTTTTATAGGTTAAATTTTCAGAAATCATATTAGTATTATTTTCAGGCTTCTAGTAGAAAATTATATTAGTATCCATCTCAATATACGTGAGTTAATCATTGTGTATTAATTACATACATATGAAAAGGATAATTCATATACTTACCCATAGGAGTTGCTATTCCATAACCTTTGGAATCTAATAGTCCTCCAACCTGAGTAAGGTTGCAGTCTCTTTGTACACTATAATCTAAAATTGTGGACTCCATGAGAAACGCATAGTTGCCTTCAAGAACCCTCTTGACGCCTTCCTCATACGAGCTGACGAAAACGGAAGGTCGATTTTCCATGAATCTCCACATCTTCTGGTATGTTTCAATTTTAGAATCCTGCAAGGAAAAATAAGTTAAAATGAGAAAAACTCAAACATATTTCATTCTGTTCTAACAGCAGTTGATTGAATTTCTAGCTTAACAAATTTAAGACATTCTGCTTAGACGATTGCTAAAAGTTTCAGCGCATTTCCTCATATTATATTCAAGGCACTTGCCGTAGGCTATTGATTGTTTTTCACATTATGCAGGAATATTAAAAAATCGTTTACAGCATAGCAGAAATGTAACAGATAAGATAATTTAATCATGACTGACAAATATTGTCCACTGTTGAACTGCACTAGATAGAATTTGACAGTCTTGATTAAATTCTTTAATCCATTCTTCTAGTAACATTTTAAGAAAGCTTTTTTTCTAGCCTTGGTTACTACAGATGCTTAAATCTTTGAAGACAAGGTGGTTACCTACAGTAACGACCTTCCTTATTGAACGTCTTACTCACCCGTGTGAGTGGTTTTCAAGACTGACCGTTTCTGAAGTTCCCTTGTAGCTCACTAGATGGCAATCAAGAAACATAAGCCAAGTTGATGCAGCAATTCGTCTTCAAGAAAATAAACATCAACCATCGAAGACAACATCACGATGTGCATTCTGCTGCACCAAGAAAACGCCTGTAAGAACAGTGTGGGAATGCAGAATATACAAACTTGAACTTGCTTGAAAAAGAAGAACTGTTTCCATGAATACCATAAAGACTGATTTGTAGAGATATCTGTGGGCGGAACCACCAGAAGTGGCCTCTTTTTTCAGCGTCTTGGACAGAATATGTGGAATTGTCGCAAATAATTTCGTTTTAACACCTGATATATTAAATAAAACAAGAGGTTTACTGAAAAAATTAATTGCCTTTTCCCGCCCCTCAAAGGGTTAACAGAGGGCTATATCTGCCAAGAGACGGCAAGCAGATGGCGTCAGGCAGCGATGTAGACTCTAAAGGCCGAATGGTATCCAATATGCAAGCGATAGTCACCAGACAGCGACATTCAAATGAATGCAGCAACAGAATATGACATACCCAGAGTGTCGTCGTAAGACAAAATTATCCTGCTGTTAAATTTTCTTTTATAATCGTTTTTAGTATAATGTTTGTGTTTAAGAAAGAAAAGACTTTTGAACTCAAATGGCTGTCTCTTTCCTTGAGCTTATACTGGAAATGAGTACTTTTATTATAAGCGACAGACAACTGCGGCTGAGTGGTGAGTTCATATAAAGTCCAAGTTCAAAAATACAGAGAGGTTGAAATTGAATTTTTCTGGCATATTTTCAGAATAACATGCTACGTTATAAAGGTATATATCAACAGTAAAAACTATCGATTAGAAATTTTAAGTTTTCTAAGATCATTTTATAAGGTATTTCTCCCGCCTTCTTAGCATTCCTTCGTAGTGTAGTGGTCAGTACGCTAGACGCGAATTTGAGAGGTCCGTGGTTCAAGTCCCGGCGAGGGAATTGCTCATTCTTCATTTCCCCTGCTTCGAAATAACATAATGTCTCTACAATTTATCTGCAGAAGATACAGTTAGGTAAGAAGGTATTTAAGATAACAAAAGCTGAATAATGAGTGCCTAACGTGATGAAAGCAGAAGACAAAACGTTGTGAATTGTTATATTATGTCTGTAGTTATTTGCCTTGACACAATGATCAGTATGCATGTAATTATTAGCAAAACGTGAACCGTAATTTCGTTTTTGTATAGGTTATATGGCATTAGCTTTAAAAAGAATGGGTACTGTAGAATTTTCTTTAAAAAGAGAAATAAAGTTATATTAATGTGATCGTGTTTGTTTTTGTACTTAGAACAGTGAGGCTGTGCAATAGGCTCTTTCCATCACTTCCAAACTGTGTTGACGTATTTATTATTATCCATCTAATATGCATGACAATTTAATGTTGGGTTGCTGATGCATGGCTCTTTCTCTATTTATAGCTAACATTGTATAAAAAATTGTACTTCTCCTCACGGAAAATTTTACAAAAAAAAAGATAAAATGAAGAAATTTAATCGATACTTAAATTTGTAGAGACATTAGGTATTTTTGAAGCAGGAAAGATGAAAAATTAGCAACGCCTTCTCTGGGAATCGAACCACGGACCTCTGGAATACCGACCCAGCGTGCAGAACCACTACACCGCTAAGGTACGCTAGAAAAGCGGGAAAAATACCTTAAAAATTGAAAATCAAATTTGTGTTTGTTAGCCCAGAATAGCTATTAATTTCGATGTGGCATTTTACGGCGTCTCACTTTTCAAATTTTTGCCACCAAATATTAGATCCCTGCGTTATATTTAATGAAATTAAGTAATGAAGAATCTGCATGAATGTATGTATATTTCTCACACTGTGAAAAACAACAGGGACAGGGAGTTTACTTAAACTATGTTAGCGCAAGTGTAGAAGACACATCACAAATGGGAAGGGTTTAATTACCCTTTATTTCTCACAGTTTACAGCCGTACCCGCACTTTAGGATACAAAGACCAGTACTCAAGGTCTGAAACATAAAAATAATAACTAAAACTTACTACGTAAAAATAATAACTAAACTTAAATTTAATTAAATAAGAACTAAGATACATTACAAAGACTAGTAACGCGAAAATTGGCCTTTTAAGCTTTACGTGGGTAGTGAGCAGAATGCGGGACACTATAATACGTTTTCAAGTAATCAAAGAGAATTAAGTTCTGGCCTCAAAGGGGGACAGCAACTGACTGAAAAGCACGCGCGCGGTAAAGTAGCGAGAAGTCTCTCTCTCCCTTTAAGCCACAACTTAAATACTTAACAGTTTAAAAGCTCAATTTGCATAAACAAATCTGTTCGCGTTTATTCTGGCCGGAAAGGGAAAATAAAAGAGGATAGTAAAGTTTTAAAATAAAATAAACGTTAGTAAAACTTAAAATCCTTATAAAGGGCGAAGAACGTGATATTGAATAAATATATGTAACACAAAAAACGTTAAAAAACGGCCCTTTGGGCGTAATATAAAATATGAACGCTTTTATATTTTCTTTTTATTAATATTTTTAAAACATTTTAATTAATTTTTCATTAAAATTTGCTGGATCATTATTTTTATCGAAAAGAATTTGTAAGGCTGTATTATTCAGCTGATAGTTAGCTAGTTATTTTCCTGTTCTGTCCCATATTATATTACGCTTTAAAACTACCTTTATTTATTAAACATATCAAACCGCTAAAATAATTCGCATGTTTTAGAAGTCGAAAACAAAAATCAGCGTTATATTGTCAGATTTAACTGGAATATTTGCAAATACAACGATATTTTTTTTTTATTTGACTTATAAAGTAATGGTTGTTCTGCGTGCTATTTAACCTACACCATAATTCGCCTGTATTTGACTGAATAAAGGGAATTTAACTATTAGTGCGACAGACCGAGGTGACAAAGGTGCTGATTTATTCTAGTAACTGAAATAAAGATTATTATACTTAAATGCAACGGCCTAGAATGTGTTTCCATCCGCTGTAATTATGGGTTGTTACTTTTGTACAAGTTCTGTGTTAACTAATATTCAGTAATTATAATCAGTTAACTATTTCTGCATGTCAGATTTCGAGTTTCATGAATGAATATGTAGTTTTAAATTTCCTCCTTCCGGAAATAAAAGTTGCAACAAAACTTAGTTTTTTGTTGTAAATTTGTTGTAATGATAATTGTTGTTGTACTAGTAATAAAAGTATGCACAGAAGCAATAGAAAACTTCAGGATCTGACTTATTTATTTATCTCCAGTTTTTCTTTTATGTTTCTCTCTTAATTTATCGCCTCAATGTGTAACAACTGATATTTCTTTTATGCAGGGCATTGCTCCGTATATATTACGTTCCGCATAGGTGGCCATTTTCGTTATTTTACCAAATTATTTGAATTATTATACTTTAACAAATATTACATTACGTGATTACTTATACATGTATATATTTTTTCATTGTATATATATTAAAAAATAATATATACAATAATATAAATTTTTTGTTATTCTGTTTAAAGGAGATTTCACTGAAATAAAGTCCGAGACACAGTGACAGCCTCTCTTCCTTTGTAAACCCAGGAGCATTTCCTCTGGAAGCAACTTAATGAAGCATGCTCATCTCATTTCTATTCTGGGCTCGGAACAGCTATTCAGAGCCTTGGAAATTAATTCTCTCGTACCCAGCAAGCCTGTCATTATCACAAAATAGGAAAAAGCGAAGTGTAAGGTGACTAAAGCGTATAAATGCATGCGCGTTGACTTTAGATTTTCATTAAATCCCTCCAATTCGGTTTCCCGTAAGTAAGGAGAAATAAATTAAAGAGAATTGGAATGTGGAAGATGAAAATTTAGCGTCTTGAATTGCGTCAATAGTTAAGTTCAATAAATAATAAGATAAATTTAAACATTTTATGTGTATTTTGAAGTATACGTCATGTATTCTAAGGGAAGGTGTTAAGGTTATGAAATATAAGAATATGAAATATAATTTCAGTGACGAAGAAAAATTAAAGATTGAAGCACACGTCTTTAAGAAAATGAAATTATTACTAGAAAATATTTAGAATTAATAAATAGAATGATTTTTCGGTTACGTTATTTACTTACATGAAATTCTTGCCTTAGGTAGAATTTGTTGTAATAGAAACAAATTTACATTACATTACAGATTGGAGGCAATATCTTTAACATGATAATTGAGGCAAATAGATAGAAAATTGTATTTCGTTTTAATTAATATATGTCATTAAGGGAAATGAAGATAATTACAATAACATAAGATTTTAGAAATACAAATTTTCCTTCCATTTGAACAAAAGTACTAAGTTCATCCCTGGCGTCTTCTTTTTAGCAATATTTTAATTATAAATAAAGTGAACAGAAATTAAAAGATGAAGATAAATTATTAGTACTAAAACTTGCCTTTCAAACGTAAAACAATACGACTAAGGAAACCTCATAAAAAGGGAAGCTAGTGGTGAGTGAGATTTGAATTATATGC